AGATGTGCGCGTGCGAAGCAGAGGACGGGGAGGAGCAAGAGAGACGATGGTGATTTTTAAGCGCTTCAAATGTAGGACGTTGCTACTATTACTACGTGTTGATCCCCATGGACCACAAGCCGCAGAAGAAGTGGTGTACAAGCGATGTCACTTTGTACTATGGGTCCAACCATGCAACACCAGCATGACTCACGGTTTTCTCACCCAAAAAAGGACCATAGGAATCATGCTTCGTTTATAGCACGGTTTCAACTCAACAGCGGATAATTATGACGGAAATCGACATATTTACTAGCTTAAATTTACGCAAATACGAATCACTGGCCTCACGAGGAAGAAATAAAATAGGGTTATTAACGTGGAATTAGATTGATCGATAATTAATTGATTTCTCGATCAATTTAGTTTATTAATTAGACCGTTCAAATCATAAAAAAAAAGATTAAAATATATTCAACTCTCATATATTATTAATTAAAAATGTTTTAAGGTAACTATGTTTGGGAGAATGGATTCTTTTACATGAGAATAAAATTAGAGGAATGTGATGCAAATCTGGGTGGTAACAACACACACATGTGTAGCCCAAAATAAATGAATATGACCTGCATCAGATGGGGTTCGGCCCCTTCCCGCATTCAAAGCTTACCGAACACGTGTCTCTCGGAAAATATCTTCCACAGGTAGGTGTTGGGGCTCCTCAACGTGACAAAATTACGTAGCAATTCCGCTTACCATAATAATAATAACAGAGATTTCATATGAATTATCACATAAAGTACACGTAAACCAAGTAGAAGATTCCTGCAGCTATGTATAAGTAGGACGTATGATTAGGAGGATGAAGGCACATGTCGGGGTCGTCAACAGGAGTCTTCGGGCCATGCATGCCTAAGGTCATCATCCTTTAATGCCACGAAAGCGACCATCGAGGATAAGCATGATGAGTCCCACAGCAGCGAATGAGAAGTCGAGAAAAGCGGAAAGCAACCACGCTCCCCCAACCGCGAGCATGATTTTTTCCGTCAGTCATTTTCCCGAACAGTTGGGGACTCGTCGCACCCCCTCCCGCGCTCGATACATCGAGGAGAACAGCATCACGTTCAGCTGGTTAGGGGTGCTCCTGTGCGAGGTCCCTTGGTGGAGGAACAAGGCGGGCTGGGTGATGATCGCCAGCCCATGTGCCCTTGTCATCGTTTGGCTTCACCCTGAGACCGCCAAGAGAAGCGCCATGGTTGGAGCCGGAGGCCGCCTTGCACGGAGATGGTAGGACCATGTGTTGCAGAGCGGGGAGGGAAGGACGGGGTTCCTTGAGACCAGGGCAAAGGAGGATGTCACACGCTCCCAGACCTCCCACATGAGGTAATCTTGGGAGGAAGTCCCTGGTTCCACTGTTAACATTTAAATACTGCATTAGTACAGCAGGAGGACCAATTTATTCATGTCATGGTACTGCCAACCCTTGAAAAGTGCTGATACCCCATGCCCTCGAGATTACGAGGGGCACAGCATCTCCCATGGATCATGTACCCTTGTGTGGAGAAGACGATTACTTTATAGTCAACTGATCCAGGACACATCCCTATGCTGAGGACTAACTTATGTTGCAGATGAGCTATGGTATGCAAGAGACAGGCTGCATGTGGCCTGCATCTTGTGCTTGGGAAACGCCTACTGGGTTTAGCTATCTTTTTCTCTGTTGTGCTCCAAAGGGGTGCTCCTACATGCATGCATGTCGAGGAAGAAAAGAAATGGGCGGGGAGGTGGAATCAGTAAACCTACGACGGCATCACCTTCCTTTTTATCTCTTGTGTGGCTGTAGCTCTTTGTGTGTGTGTGTGTGTGTGAAGCAAGGAACAACAACACCATCATTTTCTCCATGTTCATTCTGCTTTTGGAGCGGTCCGAAAAAGAGAGGATGGTTCAAACATCGTGAACAATGGAACATTGTGCCTGTGGTGGGATGGCATGAATGGACTACTCGGAGCACTCGGCATATCGACGAACCATTTGAAGTTCTCGACATGATGATAGCTCGATCGAATGGGAGTCTAAGGATGGCATAGAGTCATTTCGACAGCAGTGATGGTGGACGCCCATGTTCTCTTCTCCGCCCAATGGCATCTCTGCTCGGAGAAAACTCCAGTCACATCCACACACTTTGCCAGCCAATATGAGGCCTTGAGGTGGGACAAATTTCTTGCAGGGGTTTGATTGTTTGTTGCCCAGCTCTGGGTGACTGAGCACCAGTGTGGTCTGATTAGATGCAGCTATTCAGTGCTGTTGCAAAATTATTATTAGCTTGACCACCAAGGCATCGCATGGTTGCACCAGTGTGTAGCTGTGACATTTACTGATCACCCACCCACAATGGTTCTTGGCTGTCTAAATTATTCTTCACCAGCTTGCATTCCCTTGCTACTCCAGGAAGCTGAAGCAGTCGAATCTCGACTGAACCGGAGACCTGATCCAAGTTCACCATAGTAGCAGAAAGGGTTCGGATGTTTGCTTGAGGGTTAATAATTCACTTCATATAATTTGCCAAAATAATTTCTCAGTGGTAAGAGCCAAGTTTTAAGTACTCAACAAATCTTATCCATCATAAAACATCGTGTACTTGGATGATTTGTGGATCCTACATTACACCAAACTTCACTTTCTGACACTGTTGGGGCATAAATCATAAGCAACCTGACACTACGGGTCTTAAGACTTGGAAATGCATGAGGTTCTTGAAGTGGGAACAGGTTGGTAGAGCTCGAGGGATGAGAATGCAAATGCATTGGGATCCTTCTATCACAAACTTGATGTCACCGACTAAAAGTTCACGATGCCCGTGCAGGTTTCATCATTCAAAGCATTCAGATCTGCAAGCATAGTATGAGGTCGCAAGTGCCAAGTGAAGATTCACAGGGATTCACAGTTCGGTTCTGAACATGGGATGCTTTAATCAACTCCCTCTGTGAAAGCTGAGCATTGCAGTGGGAAATCAAGTAGCCGACAGAGAGATCTGCTCCTCGATAGGATCATGCTGCACATGTGAGATTCCCACAACTTGCTGCTGTCATTGGAAATTTCATCCTCCAGTGCACTGTGAGAGATGGGAGTTCATTTCCGAAGGTTTGACAGTTCACAGGAGGATGCAAAAGCATTCCCATGGCTGGGAGAAACATGGAAGCTTCCAATGTGCTTTGTCATCTGGGCGAGAGGGGTTCAGAGAGCTCTACCGGGATCAATTTTGCATCGCTTCTGGTTGTGTACTTGCTATCACAGCTGAAGAATCTCGATCATGTTGGTGATTGATTTGTGCAGCATTTCATGGCGCTTAACATTTCCCCTTTTCTTCTTCTTGTTGTTGGTGGGATGTCTTCGAAGCTTGTGTGTGGACTGATACCCACCATCAAAACCGAGCATGAGGCCTCAAAAGGTGTTCTTGTTTCATTTGGAAGCACCAAAGCTTCATTTGGACTGAACGCTTTACTTTTATTCTTTGCCTGTTGTTGGCTGCAAAAGTAGGTAAGATTAGTTTTGTTGCTTCTTTATTAGCTTCGATTGTTCTACATGAAGCACCATGAACACACCGTGAGTAAGGCAATTCTTAATGGGCTACACGGGCTTTATCTCTACTAATTAAGTCTTTTAGTCGTACATGCGGTCAATCATGATTCATCGATTTTATGGGCTCTAATGATCATTTTTTATGATGGTAAGGATGAACGCTAGGACGATAATAATATTACTTGTTTGCGATCTAAATATTCGGCACTAACATTGACCCTTTCTACATTATATTTTGTTTAGTGTTTGGTGACTTACATTGATTTTTTCTACACTATATATTGGCTAGAGCTTGGTGGATTCTGTTCCTCTTTAATAATAATAATAATAATAAGGTTATGTTAAGATTTGCCAATGAGATATTCTTTTACATATCATATACAGAAAAGAAAAGAAAAAAAAGGATGAAATCTTTATTCTATTAAATATTTTTTTCTTGATTCTTATAATGTCACAACATTGTTTTGTAAATCACTAAAGGCTTTCTTCTTTTGTTCTTATTTTTCCATCATAGTTCTCTTTTTAGAATCATTACAATAAAACATCTCCTTGAAAAAGAAACTGTTCCATAATTTCCTTTAGGAAAATGGAATAACCAAATCAATTCTTGTACGTAATTTAGAATTGGAGAATAGGAAAAGAAACTGTTTATCTTCACATGCAATGCATGAATTATTGCACAAGAGAGTACAAAGGAGACACAATAAGAGTACTGCATCGATGCATAAAGCTATAGTGAAACATCATATCGGACTATTAAGGTACGTCAGCTATAGAAGTTGGTCGCTGGTATGACTTTTGGATAAGGTAAATTAAACTATAATTAAACATTTTGTAATTAATAACATATTATTTAATGGTAATATTAACTTAAAGAATATATATATATATATATATATATATATTCTGGGGATAAATGTAAGTTCGATGACTGCACACGCCACCACTTACACACGGCACGCGAAGACTAACTCATTAATGTAGGATTTAAAGAAATTATAATCGGCCACCAGCAGGTACGGCGTTGCAGGTCAATAGATACGATCACACAGGTCAATAGGTTTGAGTACATAGATATTATTACTTAATTTTGGATTTGACCAGAATAAAAATTCACTGATATTATTACACTTAAAATGATTGTGTACTATATTCACTTACGGGAAAGATTTTGATTCTTGATAATAAAATCATAAACGTTATCAACCACGTTTAACAAAAAATTCATAAATATTTTACTCATTATTATTTTGTTGCTAAGAAATGATGGCATGATATTAAGTATTTGTACTTATTTGCTGCATTTAAACAAGTTTGAGTAGAAAAGGATTGAGAGTTCAAAAGCCTATCTAACATTTTTCTATAAAGATATCAACAAATTGAGTCGGTAAAGATTTCATTCAAACTGTCACTACTTATCTTTGCCCACCAAACAAGATATATGAGAGTAGATACCTTTTTAGCCATGATGTATATAGAGAGAAGGTAAACTATGCTACGAACAGTGCCAGAGTTCCAAAGTTGAAGAAACCCGAATGAGCAATCGACTTCTAAAACCCTTTTTATATTTTTCTCTCCTTGAGAAGAAGAAAAGGAAAACTTGGTGTTGGGGGACGAAGGATTTGGCGAGAGAATGGCCGATCAAAGTCTTGGATGATCGCCGGGCAAAAGCTGCACTGCCATGCCACTACGGCCGATCACAGCACCAATCTTCTAAATGCTCTCACGTTTCTTGCTAAGTCTTCTACCACTGCACTTTAATCTAGTTTTTAGCCACAGCTTGGCCCGAACAAAAGTTCTAACATCTCATCAACAAATAAATTCTGTTAGCTGTTGTTCATGATATGCTATGGAGCTGCTTGAATCCAAGTGAAGTTTCTCCGGATCCTATCTCCAAAAGAAGCTCACAAGTAACAGATCCTCACTGCAATCTTGATCTGACCACTAAATGGAATACCACGAATTGCAATCGCTATTAATGAGATCCGGCGAAAGCATCAGCAGAACTGTTACCAAACACAAACAACGTAAGATTTAGCACAACAAATAGTTGGATAAACATGTGATGTGATGCAATCACGCGGTGTGACAGAAGAAGCAAACTGTGATGAAACAGGACATCTCGATGTTTCCATTACCTGAGCCTCTCTGCTGTAGTTCAGAGGACGTAGATCATCCATGTGAGCTTTGTTCTCCGCCAGCTGCACACTTCTGCTCCATATCATGTTTTGTAGTACTGCCGAAGAAAGATTGATGGGATAGGTCTTGTTTCTGAGACTAATCATGAACCTCCCCGTCCTGGGTTCTGCGGACGACTTGCAGCATGAAGAGATCTGTTCTAATCAGCAGAAGCCACTGTTTTTGAAGCTTTAGAATCACGATATTTCTACAGACCCATGGTTTCTTGAAAGTAGTTGAGTAGCAGGGTCGGATCACCCGTACAATGGCCCAGGAACTTGGAATTCTAGCTCCTCGATGTCGGCATTGGATTCCTAAAACCATGCAGCTGCGTCAACTTTGCATGTCAGGCATCTCAGAGAAAGGCTGGTACTGGCATCAACAACCAGATTGGAGGCACTTTACAGCACAGGCCATAATGAGAGATCAAAAACAACAAGAAGACCATGCATAACTAGCACTTGGCGCCAGCGTTCATATTTTCTACCGTTCTGCACTTCGGACAGCAGCAAGAAATACCTCAGCCAATTCCACTGGTTCAGCAACCAAGGTACATAGCCATCCATCGACTATTTCCGAAAACTCAATCTCATCCATGAGATGTACAGTCCGTCTGTTGCAGCAGGAACATAGGCATGTTTGCTTCTATCCATGTCTGACGGATCAGACGACATCCACTGACAACAGATGCAATAGTATATGTCAGTATTTGTGTTTATCTGTAATAGCTTCAGACTTGATCGCATGATGTCAAAAAATTAGCCATGATCATAATCATTAGACAGTTTGGAATATAAACAGAAATATACTAATAAAATTTGATCAACCATGTCACTGATATTGGCTAAGATGCACAAAGGATATAGTGTTGAACGTTTACAGATTGAAGACTATTAAATGGGCATTCTCTCTTGTTTTGAGTAGAATTGCAATGATGTTGGTTATCCTTTCTGAAGCTCAATGTTGTCTTGAATGACATTGAATTTGCTCCCTTATAATTTATTTATATTTTACTAGTCACAAGTTGAATGAATTGTGGCTTCCTGGTTCTTGCAAGTGTTTCCTCATCTCAATGTTTTGATGCTAGTGAGACTTCAAGGACAACATTAGTTCAGGTTTCTAGAATTAGGTCCAAAAGTATTTGCAACAACAATCTAAATGTAATTGCAGAATTCCTTTATATTAGTTATATTTTATTTGTGACAAGTTGAAAGACTTATAGCTTCCTGCTTCTGTAAGTGTTTCATCATCTCTCCTTTATGTAGTGTCAGTAAGACTTCAGGTTCATCATCAAAGTGAGTTTCTATCATCAGGTTCAAAAAAATTTTCCAATGAAAGATGAAAATACCTTAACTTTATGGTAGTACAGAAGATCTTATATTCCATGGTTAGCACCTTGAGATAAGATAGATTCTCTTGCGAAGGCCTAAGATCAATCACTACAATTGTAAGTGCTGAAGCACATCAATTTGTGTTTGCATGTATGTTGAAGCACATCAATGTGTGTTTGCATGTGTCTGTAAAAGAGAATGAGAGTGAATGAGTGCGCGAGTGAGAGGAATTAGAAAAGTGAAGTTTAGGTGTAAAGGCAGGTGTTGAAGTGCCAGCTGAGGATTAACAGTAAAAAGTCTGATAGCTAATAGTTGAATTATGGGTATCCTAAAAATTCATGGCCAGTCCAAAGGTATGTTTGGACCTGAAAGAACCATGTATATCTGGTCTACAAGATTGTGCCAATTCCCAAAATCTAGTCCCAGTTATGATATGCATTCACACACACAATCACATGAAAGAACCATGTATAGCAGGTATGCAATATATTGCTGATCCCTAAGATCTCATCACCATTGTGATCTGTCTATTGATGCACAGAATCTCCAGAAACCAATACATCTGATGTTTAAAACATCGGTATTCCTCTTTAGCAGCAAGTTGCTTTGGGTTAACTGATAGCTAAAATGGCAAACTGTCAATTTATATCTTTCTAGCAGGTCATAGAGAACATGCAACATGGATATCAATTTTAATAAAAAATATCACTGTTCTCGTAGCAAGACAGTTTAGTTAAATCAGTTGCAGCTACAAGCTAATGATTTAGTAATGTGTGGATTCTCTGTGGTTGAATCTGATTAGAAAGCACAATTTTTTATCCACATCAACCATAGTTATGATATATGACTTTCAGGTTATTTGCAAAAATTACAAAAAAATTGCATTTTTCATGGCAAGATCAAGAACGTAATGCTTACTTGCATGATCCATTATCTTATTTGGCAGAAGGAAGATTTCTTTTTACATGGATAAAAAACATGAAGATTTCTGAAATAAAAATGATTTTTAATGATTTAGAGATACATCTTGCAACAAAATATTTAAAGATCAATGAAGACATGATTTTTCTTCTTTTCCTTCTCCACAAGTATTTCGGATTTCCTTCTTGGATCTAGGATTTCCAAGATTTAGCACTTCTCGTGTTATGAAGTTGACTTCCTAATGTCCTCTATCCATGACACGAATAATAACTTTCTTTGCTGCATTAGTCTGTTCAGAGATCTGGTAGATCTTGGGCTTGAAAAGTCAAATTTGTGGAGATTCCATCTCAATTCTTTTAGTCCCAGGTCCAGCTGACTAATCGAACATAGAGCAATTCCACTAGATTTATTGGAACAACAACAGCTTCATTTTTCGAAAGTCATTTTCTATAATATTCCATAATTCGAAATCCATTGAAATTAGGAAGATCCTCATTCTAGTCTTCCAATATGTGTAATCCGTCCCATTGAACATGGGCGGACGTGTAATTGAATGACCCTCTAGGTTGCCTGCAAATGCCATCTCTCTTGGGTTTAAAACCAAATGAGAATGAACCTTGCTCTGATACCAATTGTTAGGATCAAGAGCGGCACTAAGGGGGGGGTGAATTAGTGCAGCGAAAAAATTTCACGATTTCAAAAAGTCTACGTTTCGATAAAAACCGACTCCGACGAAAATCGTTTCGTAAGGAGTTTAACTTAAAAGCGTACGTGAGTGTAGAGAAGGCAGTAAGAAGGTAATGTAGCTTACAATAATGAAACTTGCACAAATTGAAAAGCAAACCAAGATTTAGAGTGGTTCGGTCAATGTGACCTACATCGGATTCCTCCTCCGACGAGGTCTCCGGCATCCACTAAAGGCCTTCCTTCAATAGGTGAAGACCAACCACCTCTTTTACAGCACTTTCTCCTTTTCATGGGTTTAGGAGAGAACCTTTACAAGTCTCACTCCTCTCTTGAATGATCTCAAAACTTAGAAAGGGGGGAGGAGAACTCTAGCACTTGTTTACAACACTTTTACACCCCAACAACTCAAGATTATCTCAATGCTTTCGTGCCCTTTCATGCAGAAAAGGGTGGGATTTTTATAGGCCCCAATGGCTTCAAAATTGGAGCAAAAAAGTATCACATCTCCGGAATCCAGGGTACTGGCGGTACCACCGTCGTTACTGGGCGATACTACCGCCGCTGATTTGACTCTGGGTGGTACCACCGCCGAACAGGGGCGGTACCACCGCTCAGATATCCTGGGGCACTGGACATTTTTCTAATCGAACATAGAGCAATTCTACTAGATTTATTGTTCTAAAGCATATTTTTAGTTTAACTTTTGCAAGTATGTATTAGTGAAAGTCAGTTCTGGCCACTACTTCGCTATGCAAGAAATCAAGTCCTATTAGGAAGATTTGCACCATATATAGGATGTTAAATAATATCACTAAATCTTTAAAGAAGACTATCTGTGTGTTCAGTTCATAGAACAGTGACAAATAATGAATTTGCATCTCATTCTGAAGTTAGAAAACAACCAAATAAGTATCATCCACTAATTTGAACCTTAGGTGTAATATCTTTGCCAACAAATTTTCCACAGCATTTACCAAAAGAGAATCTCTAATTGTTTGAGTGCAAGCTAATTTTTCTATGGACAATGTATAAAATAGATATTGCAAATCCTACACAAATTTTCCTTTATACAAATAAATAGAGCATGACTTGACATTTGTGCAAAAATTAGGAAACTAAATTATCACTGTATTAAAGTGTGATATTTTTTCCAAGAATTGGGGTTTTTTTCTGTCACCTCATTATTATGATGTAGTTTGCAGCAAAATGATATAAAATTGAGGCAGTTTGCGGCAAAACATGGATTCATGCCAATTTGCATATTCCCTACATAGATGTAACAAACATTTGTAATCTGTAACAAGTGCTTATGAGTTTTGGTTTGCCATCTATTTGGTCTCATGCGAACATGTCTTAAGATATAATACCATGCTGGTTTGCATGTATGTATGTATGGAGTGGAATTGTTCATAGAAACTTGTTGATACATATACAAGTTCAAGTTAAGCCATACGGTTCAAAAAAGAAGCTTAAAACAACTTAACTGGAAAAATCAAGGTTGTCATCAATTAATCAAAACTAAGAACTTTAAACCAGTTTCAAATCTCAATATTAGTATGTTTTGCTGAAGGCCAAGCTATTTAGCTTGCACCAACAATTTGCGACTAGATGAAAGCTGTGGCTCTATAGATTCTTCTCAAGAAATGGGTTCCTTGACCAAAGAACAACAAATATGGTCCAACATATAACACCGGTCAGATTTCATAAAACAGGATAGGGAGTTCGATCAAGCAAGGTTATGGAGTTTAGACATGAAGCAAACACTGTTTGTGAAGCATATTCTCAATAAGTGGTAGCGAAAACCAATAGTGGTATAAGCATAAGATCACCAACAAAATGTTCACAATAGTGTGTTTAATGCATCTAATAAGAGATGATGTCCCACACGCTGGAAATGATGGAGGAATTATAATGGTTTATAAGGCATGATGGCCACAATATTAAAACCTGAGTTTGACCAATTTGGGTTACCTAGTTCTAGGCCATTTTCACCCAGCTGTAGGGTCAATTGGTCTATCAAATCAGAAGCAGACCTAGAAATGCGTATGGTGATGGATCCCAAAATAATCATGATTTGAAGCCATACATACTATCACAATCCCATTCGAATATACTGCCAATACCACCATAATCTCAAAATGCTCATAAATTTGATGCCAATAATTGGATGCCATGTAATTACTAAGGCTTTTTGTAAATATCATTTGATGCCTTTTCTTATAAAGATTACTATTTACAGTCCCTTTTTCTTTACTATTCACTATCCCATAATATAATTTTTTAATATTTCTAAATTATCCCGACGTAAATACTCACTTCTTCTTCGTTATCCTCCTCCTTTCTTCTTCTTCCACATTATCTTCTTCTTCCTCCTCCTCTAAGGACTGCGTCAAGGGGGTCAAGGGTGACCGGTGGGGTCGGACGGCGTCAAGCGACGTCGGCAACGAGAATGAAATAAAGATTTGTAGGAAAAAAATAAAATCGTTAATAATGAGGTTGTGAATAGTAAAATAATATTTTACTTTTTTCGTTGAGTTGTGAATAGTAAGTTTCTTTCTAATTCTGCCATGAGATAGAGGTAACATTAATATACACCATTCTTCATTAGAAAAATTCCCTAATGTTACAACTCCAAGCCTCTATAAATAGAAGAAGATGAAGAAATCAAGCGAAAATGCAAAATCAACCATCAGATCGCCAACATCTGAAAGAAATGATGATTTCGAGAATAAGAATCAGGAAAATATATAACAGCTTACCAGAAGGTCAGAAACCCTTGATTCGGGGAGGTGAATGACGAGGAAGCTCGACGGCCGTTGCAGAAACCCTCGATTCGGGAAGGTGAAAGAAGAAGCAGCTCGACGGTGAAGGGGACAACACCATCCGTTGACGGTATGGTGGATGAGGGGCGAGAACAAGGTCGAGAAGGGCCACGCCGCCGCCTGAAGCAGAGGAGAAGGGGCAACGGGTGAGACGATGGGACCGTCGCCGGCGAGGTCGTGGGATAAAGCGGCCGAAAAATATGCGCAAGACGGACATATTATATTATATCATGTAATATTATATTAGGATCATATCACGCTCTACACATTTGTTTATATACTTTCTAGAGGGAATAACTCTCACGAATGTTTGTGGTCTTTAATTTTTTTTATGAGGTGTGTTTTTTTACGTGTATCTGTCCTTCCAAGAATTGGACATACAATATAAATTAAGAGCCTTCGGATAACTTCTATTGTCGTTGATATCAACTAATTTAGATTTAAAATATAAAATATAATTAAAATTATTTAATTTATTAAAAAGGTTTTTAGTAATAAGCTTTTATTAGATGATGCCTCATATTTGACTTTTATAAGGAGTTTTTCTTTTTTTTTAGTTTTATATAATGCTCTTGAATTAGGTTATTTCAAGTTCAATCGATTTATGGGTCCTTTCAATCTGGTCAGATTGTATTAGGTCGAATTAGATCGATTTGAGTCGAATCAAGTCAGATCCCTTACATTTAAGTTACATTCAAATTATATTCAAGTTATTCATTCTTAGAATATATTAAAAATATATTAATTTTATATAAATTTATTTTTAATTCATCATAAAATTAAAAAAAAAACTAATATAATTTTTGTTAGGTTCATATTCTAGTAAAGTTCTCAATGTTTTGATAATTAATCATCCTAAAAATATATAAAAATAACAAAAAAATTTAAAAATAGATTGGTAATTGAGTTTAACTAATTTCAATTTCGAATATAACTAAATCAATAAAAATATAAAAATATAAGATTTTATAATTACTTTTATGATGAACTTAGGATAATTCTATGTAGAAATTAATACATTTTTAATATGTTATGTGAATGGGTGTAACTCGAGTGTAATATTTTTTGTGGATAATTTAGGATAATTTTATATTAAAAATAATATTTTTTTTTAGGATAACTTGAGTTTTTTTTTATTTTATGATGAATTTAAAATAATTTTATATAGAAACTAATATATATTTAATATCTTTTGCGAATGAGCATAGCTTTGAGTGTAATCGGAGTATAACTCTAAGCATAAAAATTTTTCATATAATTTAGGATAATTTTATATAAAAATTAATATATTTTTAAGAATAACTCAAGTTTTTTAGTTCTATGATAAATTTAGAATAATTTTATATAAAATAATATATATTTTAATATATTATAAATGACGTAACTCGAATATAAAAATTTTTATAGATAAACCATGAGGAGGAGGAGAGAGAAGAGGTGGAAGAGTAACAGTAGAGATATGAGGGGGTGAGGGAGGTGGATGAGACAGAGGGGGAGGAGTGGGGGGAGGTGGAGGAAGCAAGTGAAAAGGGGAGGAGGTGGCTAAGTGGGAGGAGGACGAGGAGGGGGAGGAAGTGACGAGGTAGGAGGAGTAGGAGACAGCGAAAGTAAAAGGAGATGGTGGTGGTGGAGGAGGAGGAGGTGCAGCGTAATTTAGGAAAATCAAATGATAATCTAAGATTTGATTAAATCAAATTGAATAGTTAGTGTTACTTGAATCGGTTTGATTCGATTCATCTCAAAAAAAATAATTCAATCTTTAAAAAATCGATTCAAACCTAATCAAAGAATTATCATTGTCTTTTTATGATTACAATGAAGGTTTCTTAATCAAAGCCCCCCCAAAAAAAATGCTCGGTAAAAACCAAGTATGGGCCGTCATTCGATAAACGTTGATTACTATGGATTTTTTTCAATAAATTGCCCATTAAAATACTCCTAATATTCTTAATGATTTTTTAAAAATATTGATACTATTTAAAGTTGTAATCCAATCCACTAATCTAATAACCATGTCCCCACGCTTAACCTAACTGGTAAAACATTTATTATTGATGCATTCAAT